TTGCAGCCGAACTCCAGCCAGGCAGTGGTAAGTGGACCTATCGACTGACTTGGACGACCACCCCGATTAATTCACATATCCTTGCAGACGACCGCCTGCGAACTGAACGGCTTGGGCGAGGGAGAGGGCGAGAGTCTAACCTGGACGGTCTGGCTGTTCCTGGGGGCCCAACTGCTCCATGGAGCCGGAGCCTCGCCCCTCTTCACGCTGGGCGTCACTTATATCGATGAGAACGTCTCAAAGAAGATGTCATCTGTTTACTTGGGTAAGTTGCAAACGACACAGACGTTGATAAGACGCGCGGAAACTTTTGTCTTTTGTCTGCCGCAGTCGCACAACAAATGAAGTATGCACAAATACCCACACTCCGTCCCTATACCATATCAAAGTAGTTGCTCTCTCACATGCATATTTATTTTTATTCGCCTTATTGCCAATCGACGTCGGCTACAAAGGGAGTAAATACTGTTTACTGTTTGGTGTTTGCGCCCCAAGCCCCTCCGCTCCGCTCCGATACCAATTCCAATCCCAATCCCACTCCCAATCCCGCCGGGGGGATGGGTCTTGTGTCAGCCGGCTTCCTTCCCCTTGTTGACCCAGTTTTAAAGAGCCAGAGTTAGAGCCAGATTGTTGCTGACTCAGTTGAGACGCGGGTCTGGGGAAGAGCCAACGGCAGCTGAAATTTATTGCCTCTTAGTTAGGTTTATCGTGCCATCCAAAGACGACTGTGAAATTATCAAACCCGTCCAGCATCAGCTCCTCGCCGCTTTGGATATCGCTGTCTGGCTTTGAGACAATTGAAATTCGCTTCTTCCTGGGAGTTTTGCGCCGTTGCGAAATTCACGGAGGGTGGTGAGGTGGCCACCCCGGGAAGTAAATGCACGGTGGATAGATAAATAAGTAAAAGCTCATTCGGCGAAATGTCTTCCCTAACTTAAATTGTACTCAATTGAGAATTGTGATCCTAAAGTTGCCATTTTTATCAAAATGCCAACTAAAAAATGTGTTCTGTTGTGCATTATTTATAAATGCAACAAAGACAGAAAAAAATGCAAATTAGACTAATTAATTTCTCCAGATAATTTAAATACAAAATTTGATGTATTATTAACATAAAATTGTACAAAGCCTTGAAGGAAATATTTTTTGTTCTTAAAGTTTTAAAAATTAACACTAGTTTATGCAAGAGATTAGTTTTGTATAATACGTTTAATATTATTATGTCAGACCACTTTTTTATAAAAAAATTAAAACTTCGAAACGCACTGTATGAAAGAAGGGTAATAGGTCTCCCAGTTAAGAACTTTTCTAAAGCAAGTTAAAATGAATTTTTAGGCCAATGGTTTTTTAGATATTGTAGTTTAATTGAGAAGTTTGTCTTTGCAGGCATCTATTATACCATGGCCACCGTTGGACCTGCGATTGGCTACGTTTTCGGCGGCCAGTTGTTACTCATCTATACGGATTGGCTAAGCGTGGATCCGGTCCAGTAAGTTCATCTCACTAATCATGCATACATAGTACATCTGATAAGCTAGCTTTGATTGTTATTAATCGCACGACTTAATGCCGCCGAGTGATTGAGTGAGTGCTGATGGGGGATAAAGAGCAGGTGACTTTAACAACAGCCGGAAAACCCCTGCCTTTTCCTGCTGCTGCCGAGCTTATTTGTTACCCGGCAACGACAATGGCAACGGCAAATGCCACAAAGCACCTCGCAGTGTAAATATCTCCAGAGAGTAATAAAACAACATTCCCATTCCCGCTGACATCGAGGAAATAAGGTGCGAACAAGAATGAGCATTTGTTTGATTCGCCGTCTATGGGCAGGTGGGTGGAAAGCCATCTGCATCCCAGTCCGCTTGGCTACAACCGCATGGCTTATTGTCAAGGTGATGCCATAAGTCATAATGCCTGCTGAGCAGCCTCACCACCCCCGCTCGTAAATAATGTTGCGGACATGAAAATTTTGTTTATGATTTTATTTTGAACATGTTTACGAGCGGTTAGGGCTAAACAAACACTTTTGGCGGCCTTTTGTAGCCACTGCTGAACATACAAATTCGGGAGAAAATATAAATTCCAATTTCAGCTAATTTTCCAAGCCGAAAAAGTGGCACCAAAAAAAAAGGGTTTTGTTTTGTATGCTTACAGCCGTTACTCGTGGAGTCGAAAAGGTAGTTTGTGTTCGTTGATATGCTATATGAAATATGAAACAGTATCAGGATCTTATTTTTAGGGTTATTTTATTATACACTGTATTTTATTTCCCGACTTTCCTTTTTAGGCAAACTTGTCCATCAGTTTTAAAGCAGCTTGCACGAAACTTGCTCAAAAGTTGTCTCTTTATTACGGGTATTTAAGTCTAAACGAGCCTGATCGTTGTAATACCTTCAATAGTAAATTATCTGTGGCTTGCAAAAGTTTCCTTTTTTCGGTTAATACTGCCAGGGTAGATTTAGCATATGTTTTAGCAAACACCATTCTATTCACATATATACCTATGTATATATTGTATATATATTTATATTTGCCTAAAATTAAAAATGTCAAGAAACATTGGATAATTTTATTTTCCTTTTAACAAGAAGAACCTTAATATTGTTCGTGTTCGTGTAAATTACAAAAAGTCTTTTTTTATTTTTGTATGTTAAGTTACTTTCTTTCTGTTAGGTGGAAGTTCCAAAAATTTCAATTTTTTTTTACTATGTAATAATAAAATTGAAAATTTAGCGTTGTAAATTTATACAATTTTACCAATTACAGACTCAGCCTGACCAGCGACAGCAAGGTGTGGATTGGGGCCTGGTGGCTGGGCTTCATTTTCGCTGCTGCCATGTGCCTCCTCGTCGCCCTGCCCATTTTCGGTTATCCGAAAGTGCTTCCGGGGGCGGAAAAGCTGGAAAGGGTGTCCGAGGCACACGCCGCCATTTCGGAGACGGATAAATCCAATGAAGTGGCCAGCGGACTGGCTCAACTTCCCCGCGCTGTGTTCAGTCTACTGGGGAATCCCACCTTCTTTTTCCTGAATTTGGCCGGGGCCACTGAAGGACTGGTCATTGCCGGATTCGCCGCCTTCCTGCCCAAGCAGATCGAGAACCAGTTCAGCATTTCGCCCATGTATTCGGCCCTCGTGATGGGTCTGATCACGGTTCCCGCGGGTGGGGGTGGCACCTTCCTCGGCGGCTACTTGGTGAAGAAGTGGAACCTGGCCTGCAGTGGCATCATAAAGATGTGCCTGATGGCCACCGTGGTGGCGGCACTCTTCACCACCTGCTTCCTGGTGTCGTGTCCAAATCCGAAGTTCGCTGGCGTCACCACCGGATACAACTTGAGGGCCAGAAGCGATCCGCCCGTTTTGCTGGCTGAGTGCAACTCCAACTGCGGCTGCAGCCGGAGGAACTACGACCCAATCTGCGGCATCAATGGCGTCATGTACTACAGTCCGTGCTTCGCGGGATGTGCCCAAGAGGCGCATGCGGACAGCCTGAAGCGCTACCACAACTGCAGCTGCATCGGAAGCGTTGGCTGGGTGGCCGAGGGGGGCAGGCATGCCCAGCCCGCCTCCGATTTCCGGCCAGATGCCACCAACCTGAAGTGCGACTCCACCTGCCAGACCCTGCCCCTGTTTGTGGCCCTCTGCTTTGTCCTGATGGTCTTCACCTTCCTGGCCACCATGCCCGCTTTGTCAGCCACGCTGAGGTGAGTGCGTCCTTGACCTTTTCCAATTATTAACTTTTTGAACGTGTAGTTATATAGATGCCACAATGGTGCTTTAAATACAATTATATATTCTTACGAACAATTTTTAACGCAAAATGAAGTCTTACGTTCCGTCCATATCCAACAGAAATTTAATTTGATTCTATTAACAAGAAAGGAAGCAAACTTTGGCAAGCCGAAGTTCATATACCCTTGCAGCTATTGCAAAAACTAAATATTATTGAAAAAATTAAAATTACTTGCGTATATGTTTAAAAACTTTGAAGCTATAAGGATTTGCTGCTTAATTAATCGATACTTCCTATGGCAGCTATATAATATCGTTTTCCGATTTTAATAAAATTAAAAGCGTTATTCTAAACTATCAAATTATTACAAAGTCTAAAAGAATTAAAAAAAAAAATACAAAATAAAAAAGTTTCATTTTTAAACAAAATATTTTTATTATTATTGTTTCTATGGGTGCTATATGATATAGTCGTCCGATTTTGATGAAATTTAAACCGGTATTGTGAAATATTTAACCATTACTAAATGTCGAAGAACTAAAAAAAAAAATTAAGAAACAGCAAAGTTATAATTTTTTTTCCTTTATTTTTCCGATTGGTCCTATGGGAGCTATATGCTACAGTCGTCCGATCCGGCTCGTTCCGACTTATATACTGCCAGCAATAGAAAGACAACTTTTGGGAAAGTGTCATGCAGATAGCTTTAAAACTGAGAGACACTTTAATTAGTTTACAAGATATCAATGTAAAAAGTTGAGCTTTTACTAGCTGATTTTTAGAAAAAAGGTGTATAAACAAATTAATCAAGGATCATTAAATAAATCTTTAAATTTTAGCCGACAGAGGCTCAAATATTTTCGATTTGAAAGTCACTAATGCAAACGAATTTTGTAATAACTTTTTAACTAAGCAGCGGGTACAAGCATGTTGGTTGTCTTTCACGCGTATTTTCAACGAGAATAAAACTATGCTAAAGTTGGGCATTTCACTTAACTAAAAATATATGTAATTTTCACCACCCTGAACCAATTATTTTTCGTAAAGCTCTGGTATTGGTGTACTTCTCGTTATTATCGGACGATCACAGCAGATTCTCAATTCTGGGGCTATATATAGTAGTCTCCTTTGTAAAGGCACTTGGCACTTGGCGCATCGTCACTACACGTACGGCTGTCCAAAGTGATGAAGTAGATTATCATCCTTATGAACGAAATATCTGCAATGGTCTCCATGCTAATCGCTTCCCAAAAGGTAATTAAAACCAGAAAATTACAAGTATTACGGAATTTACCAAATTTTGATGAACCGAGGACCGAGAATAAATACGGATTACTGAGGAGAGCCAAAAGTCGAAGTACCAACGGGGCTAGAAACTTGACTTGTTCGTCCGGCGGACGCCACCCTGCATTCGCACTCCTACGTTGGGCAGCTCCGTCTTGTTTCTCTTCGGAGATCCCGTGGAGTTGTGCGAGGAGCGACGAGAGCCCTTGGCCGAGGTAGTGTCGCTCTTGACATTGTTAGAGGGGCGGCGAAGCACAGGTGTCTCGGCCCGGTCCTCAGGCTCTGGAACGCGGCGGGTGCAGTATATCTGCGCGGTGAATGTCCTTCGTTGCGGTTTCCTCTGTGCATCCGCGTCCTTGCCCTTGGCCTTCGCGTGGAGCCGACGGCGCTTGTGGATAATCGCATTCTTGTCCGTGGCGACCACCTTGTGGTAGAGGTTGCACAGCTCCATGCACTGCCGGGCGCTGTGGAACCGCTTTACCCTACCGTCCTGCTCCAAGATGCCGCACACCAGCTCATCCAGCTGCACCTGCTGCAGGGCCAGCAGGAGGGCTTCCAAGTTCACGGGACAGGCGGCGCGGGCGTTCAGCTGGGCCAGCATGGCCAGGAGCCTGGCTCGCTGCTCCGGAACGAGCACCGGGATCAGGAAGATTAGACGCAACAGCTTGTAGGCGTTGGTCCGGTCCAGCGGATCGATGGGCTGGCCGCAACGGTCGTAGAGGCTGTCGTAGATCCTCAGGTCGTGCAGCTCCGAGTACGGCGCCTTCACGTTCTCCATCACCGACCAAACGCGGTCGCGCGGGAAACGCGGAAGGGGCTGGCTCTCGTGGTAGGCCAGTTGGAAGAGCGTGGTCACCACCTGGAACCTGCTGACTCGGAACAGGCAACTCAGCGCCTCCAGGATGTGCTTATTGCGTGTGCAGGAGCAGTGACATCCCTGCTTCCCGTCGTTCTGGCCGCACACGGAGCAATTCGGGGCCGGACAGCCGTGTTGGACAGTCGCCGGACGCAGTGGCTCCAGCGGCAGCCGACAGGCGGGCCGGCAGCACATCGAAGGTCTGCACGACGGCGCACAGCACATCTCGCACAATCTCGCCTCGATTCCCGCACCGGAAAACTTCCAATTTAGCTAGTCCAGGCTTTTTGATATCCTAATTTTTGGATTTTCTGATTGAAATAAAAGCCATAGCTGCCTGCAAGATGTACACAGTCATATGGTAAAACAAAATTACACATTGCAACACGGAGAATTAGTTACTTTACTTTCATTAAATGAATTTAATTTAACTTAACATTCTGAATATAATCATCCCGACTATTAAAAACCTATTTAGCTTTCTCTGGCTTATCTTCAGTTTGGATATTAGATTTAAAGTTACTGAAGGCAGCTCAATTTTTAAGTTCATGTCTTGAAAAGTCGTGAATATGATTTGATATTTTTCCCTTATAGATTTGTTTTCGTTGTTTTTGTATACAAGTGCAAAAAATAAAAATAAAATAAATTAATTATACGATTTCAGCAATCTAAAGAAATTGAAACTAGAGTCAGCTACTTTTCCCATTTATTTTAACTATAGTTTTTTTAACATGATTTTATAAAAAAACTTTTGCAGCAGTTTGTATATATAAACTATTACTTAAAGTTTAAAGAAAAAATGCTTTTAACAATTATCTCAATGTACTTAATAAAATAAGAGCAAAAAAAGTCTTTTTTAAATGGATGCATAAAGTCATCCGAAATGATTAGTCCGAAAACGAAAAATAAACAGCGAAAAAAGCTGAACTTTTTAAAAAACAGTAGATTTAACGAGTTTGACTCCATCGTTGGAATGACAGCTTCATGATATAGCGGATATATTCTCTACACAAAATGAAAATGTAATTAACCAGATCGCCGTACCAGCATAGTCTCCGATTTGAAGGCACAGTTATCTCGTTAACAAAGTTTCACTAATTTAATCAAAAGAAATAAGACCACAAAACAAATACGCCAACAAAATGAAAAAATATTTTTTTATCTAAGCCGTTGCAACGGTGCAAGTGCAAACGTAGGTTGTTAAAATAAAATTATTACTAAAGTATAGTTTTTTTTAACCATGGTAATAATACTGGGGTACCACACACACAAAAACTTCTGATATAAAAACAACAACTTTCTTTATTCATTACAGGTCAATAAAACCCAACAAAAATATGTGGGTTTTAGAGACATTTGGGTAATGCACAACCTATAAGTATACAATTATCCTTGCTTGCAGATGTGTTCAGGATGAGCAGCGATCCTTCGCCCTGGGTCTGCAATGGATAAAGGTACGTCTGTTGGGCACCATTCCAGCACCACTTATATTCGGAGCCCTGATCGACGAGTCTTGTATCTTGTGGCACGAGCCCTGCGACAAGGATGCTGGAGGCGCTTGTCTCGTATACGACAATTTCTATATCAGCCGGTGAGATTGCTTGTGTTAACTTTCCAAAAATAAATTCTCTTATCCTTTTTTTAATTATTTCTACAGCTACATGTGGCTATTGGCGTTGATCTGCAAACTGGGTTCAGTGGTCTTCTTTTCGTGCGCCTGGTGGTTTTATGTGCCACCTAAAAAGACTTCAAATGGCAAAGAAGACGTTAATTGAGGGAGTTAGAATACAAATCGAACTGAAATTAATAATAGTGACCCAGCCATGTGGCTCATATTGTGGCTCATCATTTGCTGGCTATAGTTTTTCACCGAGTAACTATGGACTTAAGGAATCTTACTAGAGGTTCAGCTCATTACCATTACGGCGCCACTTAGACGTAACATTAGCTTTTCACAATATCCTTTGCATTTGACCTAATAAATCTATTGTGTAGCTTTAAAATCGGAAAGGTTTTAATTCATGTGTTTTTGTGGTGTTTACTTGTAGCAAGGTTTCCTAAACATATGGTCATAGTTCAGCATGCTCTTAACTAAAACTGAAAATGGATAGTTTATATTATTTGTTTTGGATCCTGTTTTTAAGCAACGAACCCCATCGGCTGCCCACAGTCATGGGGCAAACGGCGTGTCTGGTCAACGGGTTCGGTTCGCAATTATTGTGGAGATTGTACCAGAAAAGTGCAGATCCCTTCTTTGGCTGGATGGCAATTTCGGCTTCGGGGAAAATGGTGGCACCACCAACTGGGACATCGGTCATCTAGAGAAGTTACTCGCAAAATAAAAGAATCACAGTCATTTAAAATATGAAAGAATTAAAATATTAAAGAAAAATTAATGGTAAATTATGTCTAAGTATGAATATTAAATCAATTCTAAATTCAATATTTTAGTCTTAATTAAGAGTATATTACTACAAATTACAGAGGCAAAGAGTCTAATCTAATCATGTATTTTAATATTTAAAATTCTTAACATAAAACCTCTGAGTTTAACTTGTTTTTGATATACAAACGGCTACTTACATAGAACAAAAACGTTATTAATCGATCCCCCTCCTCGATCAGTTCCTAATGTACAGATTTGTGTTTATATATATATATATATATAATCAGTAATAGACTTCTGTGTACAACAGGTTACTTGCCGGATGCAGCTTGAGGTCCGTGTAGTCACTGTGCTCTGGAAAATAGCCGCCAAGGCCGTAATTGATTCTAGCCAATGATGTGGTGTTACCGACATCCAGACCCGATATATCCGCCATACGATTTACCAACGCTTTGTCCAACTTTCCGTCATCGTCGTCGGTGGCTTTGAGGTGAAAAAGGCGACTTGCTGTGCCCGGAGTTGTATAGTTATCAGTAATACCCTGGATCATCTCATTCCGGGTCAAGTTCTTTAGTTGAGCGATCTCGCTGTCATAAATCACGTCGTGGTATAGCCAGATAAGCGGGTTCCGGCTGATCTCCTCCTCCTTGAGGGGGGCATATCGCATAAACGGAGTTGAAGTGCTATTGTAGCGACACACCAACTGAGGACCTGGTGGAAACTTCCCTCTGCATCCACGTTCCACGGCCGTGGCAGTTGGCTTTGCCTTTAAATGGACCAGAGGAAGCCCAGGGTCTTGGGATAGTTCTTTCATATATTCACTTAAGTGGTCGACGGAACCTATAATGGGCTCAAAATAAAAATAAAATAAATGATTATATATTTTTTGTTTACTTTCCCGAATTAGAAATTTATTTTTTTGTATTTTTTATACTTGCCTTCTTGAAGCCGACTCATAATAAACATTTTTCTGAGCTTTTCTCTTTGTGGAACGTGGAATTGACGAAAAATATTATTCTGGGGCTCCGATAAAGCATTTAAAGCTAGTCGGTACCACTGGGCAGCCCGCCTAAATTCCGATTGACTGTACAGGTAGTCTGCTAAAACCAGACAATCGGGTGATGACATTTGGGTTCTGTAAGAGAACCCATTTCATCCACTGAGTTAAAAGTAATTCTTACTCTTACTGAAGTTGTTGGTCTGCCACAAGACCATTGGCCATATCCGAAGACTTGAGGTCATAGAAATGTTCTATCCTAGCCATTCCCAACAAGGCCTCTTGCATGTCCTCTGAGTTTGGGGTACGATTCACAAGTTTATGCATTTCCTCAATGTGAACTGCAAGGGGTTAAATCAACTAGCAAACCGTCGAAATTTAAGTTTCTCATACCATTAACGCTTTTTTGATCTCTAATGAAAGTAATCAACTTTGGCCAATCTTCATGAGTTCGCCTCACAAGTCGAAAGAAATTTAGGGGATTGGACACATAACGAATTCGATCCCCTTTTCCCCCAAAAGATTCATACGATACGGAATCAATAAACCTGGTGTGAAGGACTGCTGTCGTTATCATTTTTATGGAAAGAATGCGGAATATTATACACTTTGAGTACTTCTACTTTATGTTGCAGAGAGCTAGCAAAGTTGGTCAAATGCTCCATATATGAATTCTCAATCTCCCGGAGATCTGACAGGGCTCGAATCGAAATTGAGTAGATTATGTCCTTAGGGCTATCTTTACTCTCTTCGGATGCGACTATTATTAAAAAATTCAAAAGAACAGAAACCAACGTTCGAATCAACATTCTGGGGCACAATAGTTAGTAACTTGATGCACCTTAATTAAAATAGTTCCTTTTAAAATTAAATTAAACGTCTCATCGGCTACGCGTCCCACAAATTCTAAGGTAATATGCAAACACTCAGAAAACAAATCGCTCTTAAGTTTTAAAACTTCCAAATAAGTTCTAAAAATTTCTCTTTCTTTTGTTAAAGTCGCAGGCCTTACCTTTACTACGAAATTTATCCTTATCATGGAAAGGGAAAGTTTAAGAATGTTATATTTCTAATAAGCTATCGGTTAAGATACAAAATAAAATAGGCAAGAAATGAAGAGAGAATAACGATTTTTTAACTATATAAAAAATACAGCAAATTTTAAGTGTAATTTTAGACATCATGGAGGCCAACGCACCGGAAAATCAATGTTTGGACTCTGGAGAACTTTGCCGATGTTAGCTAGTGTAATGGGTCATTCTGTCTGTCTATAATTCTTCCAGGTCGGCGTTAAAGGCAGGTTTTTAGTTCAAGTATGTATTAGAACATTTTGGAAAGCTAACACACAAAAATCTTTAAAACCGGAACCACACCCATTTTTCTTCCAATACTTTTCTTTCGTTATAATAATCTTTGTTTAATTTACATAGACGTGTTAGTGTTCCGCGATTTGTGTTTTGAATTATACTTGCACTGCTTAGGAACTACTATAATCTGCATGCCAAGTCTAACATCTTTAGCTTTCATAGTTTCCGATATGTCGACGCTTATACAGACGACAGGCAGACGGACATGGGTAGATCGACTCGGCCATTTATTCTGATCAAGAATATATATATTTTATATGTTGGGAAACGCTTCCTTCTACGTGGTACATACTTTTCAACGAATATAACATACCCTTTTACTGTTGAGTAAAGAGAATGTAAAAAAGAGGTCGATTATTCACAGTGGATTGCCTGCCTCTTGACTCGTATATTTCTACTTATACCTTACATTTTACTTATACGTTTGCAATATTACAAACGTTAACTAAGGAAAGCTTCGCTAGGTGGCGTGATGCAAAAAAATTAGACATATTAAAAGTTTAAGGTTATCGGTTGTGTCAAAGAAATTGTATTGAAAGGTTTAATATTTAACTCATTTAGTTTTCTCTTGCCATTTAATTTCAATAAACCCCCATGTGGACAGCCGTCCACGTAGTGACGATGAGCACCGGAAAGTTTGTGCAATGAAACAACTATATGTTGCCGCAATATAGGAAAAATCATCAAAAATAGTCTGATCTTATATAAGGGTTTGTGCATACTAAGACTTTTAGAAAGTCAATTGTTTCTGGAGAAATGGGGTGAAAGAAGTAAAAAAATGTTTTCCAATATTGGAGCTGTTGGGGCCGGTGGCTTTAATAGGCGACCAACGATTTCTCCATTATCTTAATACGATACTCCGTTAAAAAATTCAAAATAAAAGTTCCCAATAGTTTAAAGTTCATGTAACAATAATTTTGTTTCTTTTGGGTTAATGGATACATGGTATTTTGAAGGGCTATTTGCGATTCCTCGATATCATTTCTTTAAGTAAAATAATTGCGGAATTGTGGCTAAAATTATGTTTTAGTGTTCACGTTTTGGGGACCTTTTTTTAAAATGCCAGTAACAATTTCTTTTTATTCAAGAGTTCTTATAGCTTCTGAATATTCAATATACAAGTCATATGGGGACGACTCCTGCTAGTGCTGCTGCTGCTGCTGTACTTTAATAAAAAAACGATTTTGGGGTTCCTCTACAGATTAAAACCGCAACAAGAAAAGAAGCCAACTTCGGCAAAACTATGTTTATATACCCTTGCAGCCATTGCAAAAATTAAACATCTTGAAAACATATAAATTTTGAATTATACGAGTACCCATTGAAACCCATCGAATCTATGATGATTTTCCCCTCAATGTTTCAATCGGTCCCATGACAGCTATATGATATGGTCTCCGATTTTAACTACATTAAGAACCTAATTCTGAATTATTAAACCATTCCTATGTCTAAAAAAACTAAAAAAAAAATAATAAAAATGACTGAATTTATTATAGGGTATGGGTATAAGAATATAAAAATATAGGATACGATATCAAACGTGTTATGTTATTTTTTTCTCTCTGTTCCTGTAACCTACTTATATACCCTTTGTACGTGTATCTATTAATGTGTGTATAGCTAGTGTTTTAAAATTGAACCATTTTTAAGTTTATTCATGTTTTAACATTTTTACTGCACAGCCATGGCTTCTTAAAGCTGCGAGTATCTGTAATCGAAATTGAAAATATTAATGAAAAGAACAAAATTTTAAAAATTATAATATAAATAATACATATTTCAGTAACAAAGTTGCCACAAAACGCTTCTTCCCCTTAGAAGATTTGCCCAAATTAGAAATTACTCGAGCATAATAACATACATGTGTTTCTTTAATTTATAATCAGACGGAGGTACGTAGACACGTGTTATTTTTAAATACCACAAGTGCAGCGATTTTTCAATATAACCTGGTTTCTTGAAGGACATAGGTCAGCTGGATTTACTAGCGCCTAATAAACATTTTGTTATTAAATCAAATCCGAACAACAAAAAACGTAATTCAAAGAAAGTGCATTCTCATAGGAACGCAAACGTCTTGGGAAACTTGCAAGTGTCAGCAAAAGATTTGCCCCGGAGAAAACAACAATCAAGCAAATTCCGCCTGCTTATTACCATTATTGTTATCGCTATTGAAAAGCGCTAATTGTGCGCAAATAGCAAGGCGAAGCGAACTCATTGCTAACTTATTAAAAAGCTCACACATGCAAACCAAGCCAGCCGGAAAAGTGCAAGCGTGGCATTAGAACAGGAGCAGGAAGTCGGAGGATGCGAAGACAGGTGAAAGTTTAGCAGGAGATGTGCGGAATTTCGGGGTTAATTAGAATGGTATTGGGTGAGTTACTTAGTTGGAGTTGGCAAGGAGATGAAAGACCACCCACAACCGCCCCCCAAATACCAATGATGTGTCACTTTCCCTACTCCAGGTGAGCAATAGCGTCACGTGCATATGGAATTGTAAGTCCGGCACTTTATGAATGAAACATTTACTACTGCATACCTCAGTCTTTTGGCTGCGGGGCACCTTGACTTTTGGCGAACGAGCACAACCACCGAACACCACCCACCACCCACCAGCCACCCAAGGCCGCAGGACACATGCGCAACGCCACCGCCTCGCCAGGCAGCATTTGAATTTTGAACATGAATTTTGACAGTTGATTATCAGCTCCGCTCGCAGTTCGCGGCCAGTTGTAAGAGTGTGCGGACGTCTGCCCCGGCAATCGGCGGTAAACTTCAGCACAAAACCGGAAAAAATAAATTTGCGCTAGTGCAGCGGAAGTTTAGCGTGCCTATTTGGCCAGTGAAAGTGGCATAATAAAACTAACAATAATACATTCAAAGTTTCGCACTTTGCTGGCGGCTGAACTGCAAATATGGGAAAGGGTTTCCCTGGCATCTTCCTGCTGCTGATGCAGTGTCTTTGTTTGAGTCGGGCCAGCTTCTCGGAGTTAAATAATTGTAAGTCGTTAACAGCATGGTTAACTTAAAACAATTATTAAGGCGTAAAGGCAATTCCCATAAACACACATTATAAGTTTTCTAAAAAGATTGCAGTTTAATTCTGATGATTCTGAATGGAGAAACATATAAAAATAGGGCTACAAAAATTAAAACAACTTTGTTATATAAAATGATCAATACATACAACATTATATTTGAAGTCAAAAGTAAAGTCAGAGCTATCCTTCATTTCTTTGTCACAAAGTGATTTTAGAAATAGCTTGCTTGAAATTTAAGAAATAATATACATAATATTATTAAGGAAATGATGACATATAATAGCTATTATCTTATTTTATATAATTCTAAAAGTACAGGTAAATGGTCCGCACTTTTTTTCGTCAGTTCTTGAACACGAACTTTTAAATTAACTAAGAACCAAAAACGTTAAAACAAATAATTGGTTATTTTTAATGATTCTTTGAAAGTTACTTGACTGCATATAGAACAATTATCTTGAACAATTAAATTTTAGTCTGTCTACAAGCCAAACATTTTTTTAATCACTAAACACGCCAGAAACGTACAGCTAATTGACTGCAAACTAACTAAAACCAAAGTGCTAACGAAAAGCGTTGTAAATACCAGCAGCAGCGGATAAAATGGAAGGCAGCTGGTAATCGGAAGTCCAACGAGTCCATAAGTGAATAAACTGTGGCCAACATATTCCCCAGACAGGGCGGAGGGGCATCCGGCGGAGAACTGCGGAAGAGTAACGAGGGGTAACTTCCGCCAGGAAAAATGGTCTGCCAAAAACAAAACAAATTTTCCTTGACTTTGGCGAGCCAAGTGCGATAAATATATCAAAAATTCGAAATTCCTTATTTAAATCAATGTGCCAGATGCAATATAAACATAAATATTGGCAGGCTAGCCGCAGCGTGTGATAAGAAAGTGAGAAGTGGCTCAAAGGAGTGCTAGTGCTGCACCCCCGAAGTTCCGCCCTAAACTCATACCCCCCCCCGACCACCGCCCACCACCCCCTTCGCAGCGGGCAGGCAGACAGACAGTCGCGGAAAGGCGACGTTTTCCCACTTCCTACTGCACTCTGCGTTATTTTCATTTTTCTATTTGTGGCTGGTGGTTTCTGCCGCTGAAGTGCCCGGTGTTTGGGTGGGAGTTTCGGTTGTTGCAGTGGGTTATTTTCCATTTTTTTTGGGCCGGCATTGCGTGCTGATTGTGATTCTTTTCGCCTGCAACCGCCTGCAGACAGTTGGAGTGTCTAGCAGGAGACAGGACATTCACTTTCCGTTTCAAGTTCAACGGCGTGGGGAGAGGACTCTGCCGGATTTGCTGGGACTTGATAGGGAAATTACGGCTTAGGCCTCCGACCAGCGATACAGCGATACGTGCAGGAGAACAGGAACACATTTAACAACTCATAGCCAATTTCCTCTATGAAAAGCGGCAACAACAAAGGCGTATAGTGGCGAAAAAGTTAAACGCGAAATAGCATTACGTCTCAGACATAAACGAAGCAAAAAAGAAGTCGCAATGGTCCTAAATACACTTAAAGAAAGATTGAAATCAGAAATATGCATTAAGTCGAAACTAATTAACGGTTGACAAAATAAAGTTAACGTTTTCAAATATTATAAAAATAGTTTCGTCGAAGTAATTCTATATCAACTTTAGTTTAACAATTGGATTACAATCAGGATATATTTCAGCTCACCCTTCTTTATCTGATTTTGGAAAAGTTCTCTTATTTTATTAACTTTTCTTACAGTTATGAAATGTTACCCGTCCAAGTTGTTATCCTCAGTGCAAATATTATGTGTTTTATGGTCTCAAAAAGTAAAAAGTCTCGCTCGTCCCTTTCTGTGGAATGTTTCCATATGCAAACATGCAATAGCCAAATTGCAATAACAACAAAAACAGAAACAGAAACCATATCAACTGAAGGCAGTCAAACAATGGCGTCTCGTCTCTCGCATTTAAAGGGACGAAAGGCGCAACTCCGACTCCGACTTTGGACCCAAAACACCTAACTTTGGCCAGTCCCAGACCCAAACATAATCGCAAATTATAGGCTCTATGGCATGGCATCGTAGGCTCCCCCAATTTGATGCTAGTTTGGTGGAAACACGCCCACACCAGCACCGCAATCAATGGGTGGGGTGCTGGTGGGGCCAAATGTAAAGGTGTAGCCAGGTTTTTACAATTTTCCAGGTACTAGCACCTGCCCATACCGCTCTATTAGATTTTTGCATTTTTTCGGGTTATTATTTGGCCATAATTGTAATTTAGGTATTTGCCGTGTGGGGGTGAGAGTGCGAGACCTCGTCTCCTGGCCACAGGAGTCATGCTACTTGTTAGGCATGTGATGTGATTTTTTCCATATTTTCTGCCTCCTTCCCATTGTTGTGATTGCGTTGCTCTGAGGTCGGTGTGCGGTCGAAACGCTGTGGTTAAGTTGACTGACGGCGAGTGTCGAAGTCTTGCGGTCGGGCAGCTCGACTGCAAATGAATGCGATGCGACTCAAGTTGAGCTAATTCCCCTTAGGAAGGGGTTTCAATTGCTTATAAAACCATTTAATAAGATAAATGCATAACTATACAAGTTTTTCTACTATTGTGCTATACCACAAAAAAAAAAAATTTAGATAAAAAGCTTACAGCAAAAATCAAGTCTTAAAGAGACAATAAAAAAAACATAGATTTTATGACAATTTCAGAGCGTACTACTCAAAAAATCAATAGAAAACAGTTGAATTATAATGCTAAAGCTTTCACTTATTTATTATCAATCCATAATAGACTATATAATTTGTATTAATAAATGTCCTACCAAATACACTCCCATTGCGACATAATTTTTTAGCTTAGAAATACATTTTTTGCTTAGCTATGCTGTCATCTCAACACTTAATTTCCCTAATTGTTGGATTATTTGCTGCTGTTTCGGCTCAATGTAAGCCTCAACAAATTTATGACTGTTGAACAATTTTAAATTTCGTTGACCACTTCGGTGGACCATCTGGCAAATGTTGAACATTTTCAGCTAAGCCTGTTGACATTCTGCAGACACACGCAGAAGTATGTGAGAAAGAGAAGTGTAATAATTATCCTGATAATTGTGGATTAAAAAACCCAAAGGAAATAGGGCACACATTAAAAAAGGTTATTTTATAATTGAATTAAGTGTTTGCGCCTGAGTGTCTTAAAATGGAAACGGACCAAATGCCAATGTCTAGCATTTGCAAGCCCCATAAACCACCCACCAGATGTGTTGTGTCCGCCCCATTTAGCGCCCTAATGACGAGAGCCGTAAAAGTCAACCAATTGGTCTTACTGCCGTCTTCCTTTCCAGCGGACCCCAAGTTCAGCGGTCCCATCAACAACTCAACAGTTCCCGTGGGACGCGATGCCCTGCTCACGTGCATTGTCCACGACCTGGTCAGCTTCAAGGTGGCCTGGCTGCGGGTGGACACGCAGACCATTCTGAGCATCCAGAACCACGTCATCACCAAGAACCATCGCATCGCCATCTCCCATACGGAGCATCGCATCTGGCAGCTGAAAATACGCGATGTTCAGGAATCGGATCGCGGATGGTGAGTTTTTAAAAGCAAGGTTTGTGCAGGTTTTGTTTTTTTATTTTTTATAAGAACTGTCATGTAAGTGTCACATTAATAGAAAAAACAAATTTTCTTACATTGGTAAAAAAAAATGAAATAGTAAAAATAAATATCTTACTACTGAATTAAAAATTGTACATAAGATACATATATAAATTAAATATTAAATATTGCATGATATAATATTAAAATATTTAATTAATATGGAAACAATTATATTTTAAAAAGTTCCTATTTGAAATATGGTTTATATTTAAATTAAAGTTTAGATATTAAATAAATTCCGAAAATAGTGAAATACAAAATGGATAAAAATCGAAGCGAAAAATATTTCAATTAAGTATAAAATATTAAGATTTCCTACGTATTTTTTTACAAGAGATATATATTTTTCTCCTTTATAAGTTAATGAATTTTACGAAAGAACTTATTAAGCATTTATTAACTTTTGAAGAATTTCTGTCTTGAAAGTAGGTAACTCTTCAAAAGATGATGGCCGTTTCATAACTTGTAGAACAGCTGTATATTTTTACTTTTTGATATAAAAAACGGGATGCCATCTCTTGTAGCTGGCATTCGAGTAAACGGCCAATATAAATGACAACCTTTGAAAGTGGTGATTTTTTATTAAATAATTACATTCAGCTACTACGAAACCGTTTGGCAACGTATTATTTTATGCATTGCAGGTACATGTGCCAAATCAACACAGATCCAATGAAGAGCCAAATGGGCTACTTGGACGTGGTGGTGCCTCCCGATATCGTCGACTACCAGACCAGTCAGGATGTGGTTCGAGCTTCGGGTCAGAATGTAACGCTCACGTGCAGTGCGACGGGGGTTCCCCTGCCAACGATCACTTGGCGTCGCGAGGGATCTGCTCCACTCCTGCTTTCAGCCGATGGCGACCGGAAGATGTACAGCGTGGAGGGCCAGAATCTCACGCTGTGGCAGGTGCAGCGCGATCACATGGGCGCCTACCTTTGCATTGCCTCCAACGGAGTGCCACCCACAGTTAGCAAACGCGTTATGCTGGTGGTGAACTGTAAGTGAAATAGTAGTACACTCAGAAGGTAATTAAGTATTTTGTGTTTGAAATGGAATATTCGGCGTTAAAATACTACTATTCAATACTAACAAAACATTTTGTTATTCGGTCCTAAATCCGATTTGCACTTTAATAGGAGTTCGTTCAAGTACTAACGTAATTTTGAATACGGAATCGTTCTAAATCAACACAAATGTTTTATAAATTTGTGAACGTACTACACTTACGTCATAAAACAGTATAGTAATATGTATAACTTATAATACAGGCTAGTGTAATTAAACAACACTTAAAAATATGTGCCAAAATGTAGAACAAATTTATCTTGATTTTGGATGACGAACTACGTCATAGTACATTATAGTACTATGTATAACTTAGAATGTAAAAAAACGTGCAATAATTTTTAAAAAATTTGCCTTGATTTTAGAACGATTCCGTATTCAAAATTACAAGCACGTTAGTACTTGAACGAACTTAATTTAAATTACAAATCGGAATTAAGACCGAATTACAAAATGTTTTCTTAACATTGAAAAGTAGTATTTGTAGCTATTTTTTAGATAAGGGTGATATTTTTTGAAAATAAATGTCTTCCGGCACACAGAATGTGTCAGAAGAAAGCTACATAAAAGTTTAACATGCTTGGATTTAAATATAAAGTTTGCCTATAGTTGTTTCCCGCTGTTCAGAGGGTTAATTTTGGTAGAATAGATTTTTTCCAAATTATTCCAGGATATCAAAGTAACGACTTGATTGTACATTTGGCATTCTAAGTTAGATTTTTTTTTTAATTTTAGACGAATTTTTGAATTTTTTACAAAAAGGTTGCACGTCCTAACTTGTTAGGAAGTTGTTTTGTTTAATCAATACTATTATTTCAAAGTCACCTATTAATTATCCAAAGGTGCAAGATTTTGTTCTTAAGATTTCTTTTTTACCTGTTGCAGTTGCTCCCACAATCTGGACACGATACAATACCATCTACGTGGGTCTGGGCCAAAAGCTGACGCTGGAGTGCATCACAGAATCGCAGCCGGCATCGGTGAACTTCTGGCTGAAGGACTCCGAGCTGCTGCAAGGAGGTTCCTACGAGTCCGACCCAGTGGACCATGCCTACCGGGTTGTGATGCGGATCACCCTGCGTCCAATTACGAAGCGGGATTTTGGGGAGTACAAATGCAGGGCGAAGAATGCGATGGGCCAAACAGATCGGATTATAACAGTGCATCGTAAGTCAGTTTATATTTCGGTTGCCTAATTTCGTAGACACATACACCTTTGACCAACAGATAAAGCCAAGAAGCACGGGCAGCATTCGCATCAAACTTCCTCCCGCGAAAGTCAGTTCATTGTCATTGAAGGTTTGTTCATCCTAAGTTTGCTTAAATCTTAAAAGATAATCAGCTCTCATTTATTTCAGAATACATTGCCAGCGAGTCTGATAAGAGCTGCAGCTTCCGCCCCCTGTGGATTATATTTCTATGTTTCGTTAATAAATTTTCAAGCTTGTGAGCAATTAAACAGTTTGTGGTTGTTTTTTAGCCACGTCTGCAGCGTGTCTGAAAATGTATATTGCCTAATTCACAATTTTAACTATACATAATTTTGGTTACAATTGTTCGGTTCGAAGGTAAAAGTAATGTAGGTGCGAACAAATTTTAGAAAAAATCAAGCCTTTTGATTTATTTTCTGGTTTTACATTTTGATTTAAAATTTCGGCTGTTTGAATAAAATTGCTCTAGGACAACATTTACAATAATTCACCTCGTCTAGGTCTTCAGTTTTAAAATAAACTACAATTCGTTTTAGTTATGTACAATTGTGTATCTAAGTCTGATCAATTAAAAGTTAAGATAAAACCCGATCCGCAACTTTACGCTTAACTTAGAGGAAATTTAACTAAGGAGACGAGTTCAACAGGTGTTTGTTCAGAAAAATTGGTATCTACTCCCCACCGGATCCATCCTTTCGGTTTCTTTCGCAATAAATTAGTGTGTTTAAAGTTAGATCTAGCTATGAGCGTGTCGAGGTAGGCTTAACAGTTTGTTAGTTGGATTGGCTTACAAATTAAGAGCGTGGTGGTTTTTATGTGAGGATGTGTTTATGTGCTAGCCTAAGACTGGTTCTTAGAATAACGCTCAACTTGAGCTGTCATGCCCGTTGGCCAGTTTTGAGGGCCTCTCCATGTTGGGCACCTCAACAGTCGGCGGAGGTGTGGCACCCTTGGCCTTGGCCAAGACATCTCTCTGCTCGTAGATCTCGTTGACCAGCTTCTTTACAAACGGGTGGTTGAATTTACCCTCCGTGGAGTCGAAGAACTCCTGGTGCTTCAGAAGGCAATTGTCCCGCTTCTCGTACTCGAACGCCTGCATCACCATGTCCAGGCGATCCAGGTCCTTGACGAATTTGCTCTCGGCCGTCTGTCCATGCTCGTACTCCTAAAATAAGCAGTGATTATATATTATATATTATTATATACAAAAAAGGGTTTTAGCCGAGTAACCCACCTCGAACAGTTCCATTATGCGCTTGCCGCGTGGCTCGATCAACTTGCATATATCCTCCATCGCCTTGAACTCCATGGCCCGCTTTTCGTCCTTAGAAACCCCGCAAAACGGTGTAATATCGCCCACCAAGCTCTCCGCCAAGTCGTGCACCAATGCCAGCTCCATGCAGCGGATCTGATTGAGTCCCTCGCTGCCATCCAGCAGGAAGGTCAGCATGCTCATCCTGTACATGTGTCCCGAAATCGATTCGCAGTCGTTGACATCACGCAGCACCCATCCCGTGCGTTTTGTGTGCTGTGGGAGAAAGTGAAAAAAACAGCGGGTTAGTTAAGCTAGTCTTAGTCCAACTTATCTACTAGATTTAAGCCTTAGGTCAGGAATGTATCCTATATACATATATGGTGTCATCGATGTTGAGTTGAACACAACTAACATTCCTCCCGCCACTTGGCTAATTAAAAAACACCACGACGCGACTTCGGAGACTTCGTTGCCGGGTTGGTTCCTTGCACACATCAAGGTTGGTGCCCCATGTCTTGGTCATGCCAGACCTTCAACCCAAACGTGCCAGCGAGGGTGGTTCTAGGCTGTTGCTATTTGATCAATAAACGTTTTATTTATAGAAACCGACAGCGGGGTAACAAGGTCCAAAAGACATTGCAAGTCGCTTGTTTTCTTTTGACGCCAATTTCCCTATTGAGCAATATTATGGTTAAATTCAAATGAAAAAGCCAGTATTGTGCCGAAATCATATTCTACCGTTACTAATCGGGGTTGTTAATAAGGTGCCCTTATCTATTTCTCACGTAACGAATTAAAGATCTTATCAGAACGTTTTATTATCTACTAACAAAAAGCGACTGAATGCGCACTACATGCATTGTGATGCGTATGCTCTATAAATGCATCCAGTGATATAAAGATTGCACAAATCGAGCAACGAAATGATTAATTAAATTGGTGATCCAATTAGTATCACTATGAACGATAAAAACGATGCGCACCAAGAGCGTGTGCAAATGATTGAAATGATCGGAGCTTGTAGTCCCTGCCCGGTTGCGCAAATTGCTCAATTTGTTAGCTTAGTTACATTTTTGTGGGAAATAGGCAAAGTCCCCCAGTTTTGATCAAATTCAAAAGTTGTTGTTCTTCGTCGGTTTCAAAAAAATGTAAGTAAAATCGAGTCATTTTTGTTGTGTTGACCAGTTTGTTTGTTCTACAACTTTTTGAAAAACTAGCTAGGTAAAAACGGCAACAAACAGTTAAGAGCAGCTAACGCTGTGTGAGCATGAAATTTCTTCTAAAAGTATGCATCAGCATTTTGATGACGAAAATTAAAAAAAAAGGTTTTTAAGTTAAAGGAAGAATAATGTGCCCTAAATATTTTTAAAATATTAATTACTTTTAAAAATGAAATTTAATACTTGTATTAATTTAAACAATGTTAGGTATATGAAGTCTATTGGTAAGTTTTTAGTAAAGCTTTTAAGTGTTTTTAAACATTATTATTAAAATAATAAAAGTAATAAAAAATAGCTCTAGTAATAATGTTGGGGTTCTTTATATATTTAAATTTATTTAAATATGTTTCAAAAAAAACATCTGATTTCAAACAACACAACTCTTAACGAGGTAAAAAATTCGTAACGATCGCACCTTCAAACATACAAAATTTCTGATCAAATTTTGTGGCAGTTCCGAATCGGCACGATAGAAAGTGTCTGAGTAGACAAACAATTTAAATACTTGGCTGAGGCAGTTCGAACGGGAACATTTTAAAAGTACATATATTTATTTAGCCCAATATCTACATACATATTTTCATATATTTTCACACTCATAGCAATCGCTTAGATCGTTCAGTTTGGAACACATACAGAACACATTATCGCCTTAGACAAACCTCACCCACCCTTGAGGGGCTCCATCAACTCTTAAAGATAGCGTAATTTGAAGGCCAAGATCAAAGTCGTGCGTCGTTTTTATTTTTTCGTTTTGGCACTTTCTACATGCAATCGAATATATGCACAATAGAAAATAAAAAAAACTGGCATTGGGAAAATAATATTGTAGTGTATTCCAAATATTTTGCTCCTCTTACGTCAATGCTGGCAGTTGAATATTGTTCAAGCTAAATTTCGCGATGAATCCATAACATTTCATGAGAAAAACAGCAAAACATTATTGTGCTCACGTGAGCTATTTGGAACTTTGCCTGAACGCTTTTGTATATTTTTGCAATTTTGTTGTGGAGATTAGACGAATCACAAACAAAACAAAAAACTTACTATTCAGCTCACTCAAATGACAATATCACCAGTGGACGTTGGGGGCAGCCGTTGGAATTAGAAAACGATTCACTTTCTGCAGCTTGTCGATAAGGAATCAAGTCCCGTGCTTGGGAACTCTTCATTCTGAAGACGGATTAAAAGTTTTAACTATGCTGATTAGATTAAAGCAATGCTATTTGTTCTAGAACGTGTGCAGCTCGTAAATTTGCGCTGTTTGCTTTTAAGTAAGAGACGCTGTGTGCTGTCCAAAGATACGATTTATTTATACGTTGACTTTGCACTTCGTCTCAGTTCATATCGCTAATTTGTGATAAATATTGCACTTGTAGAGGAAAAACAGTATTTTTAATTGATTTCAAACAAACAAAATTAAAACATCCTGCAAATAAACCTCTATACAAATGCACATATATATCAGCTACATTTCTTGGCAACCGACTATATTGAAGGGGGACACAAGAGCGAGGTTGTCGTTGACATTATATAATACAAGACTTTTGCAAATATACAAAAAAAAAAATAAACGAAAAAATAGAATTGATTATACAAAACGTAGATAAATACACGCAAGCTTTATATTTACTTTGGATTTCGCGTTTTGTTTATTTTTCTTTTGTTTTTTTGGCTTTATTTGAGATCGGGGTTATACGTATGTATGAATTAGAGAGTGTATCGAAACATAGGCAGAGATTTTGGTTACAGTTTTTTATAAGGAAAAGCTGAGTCATTTGCGCTTTTTTATGTACTGAATATATTATAGAGTGGAATTTTATAGGTAGGAATCAAAAGAACTGTCCAAACAGTGTTGATCAAATAAAAGTATGATTTTATATATGTAGATTCGAAATATAATCAGAAAAGGTGTTTAAATTTATTTAAAAACAGTGCTATCGGCTAATGGAAATTGTAAATCGAGAAGGCTTTACTCATAACGAATAACATCGAAATGTATTTCAGTAAAATAAACATTTCTGTCTCTCCTCAAATCTAAAATAATACAATGGTTTACCTACCCAGTGTTTGTTTGTTCTCATTTGATTGTTTGTTTGTTCTCATTTCTCTAGCACATTTTCAAAAGTATTTAAAAACAAAAATGGATTTAATTAATTACCTTTGAATAAATAGTAAAATTAAAAAAAAAAAAAAATAAAGGAACCTCAATATTAATTGGAAAAAAGCTTTTTAAAGTAAATAACTTTTGTATAGTTTATACTGTTGTAATAAGGCAACATAAGAGAACGCAGGGCTTCGGGAAAAATCGATGCGAACATATGACGCGCAAAAGGGGCAGGGTGAACCGGAAGGAAGGCGCTGAAAAACCAGTTTCACATACCTTCAGGTTGCCGATGAGCTCCATGAACTGCAGAATCTCGCTGAGACCCGTGCTGAAGCAGGGCTTTTTGCCGGCGCTGGCGGATGCGGATGCCACCTCGTGACAGGAGGCTGGTGACTCCACATCGCCGCCCGTGCTGGCCGTGATTTCGTCCTGTTTCTGGGACTGCAATGGCTCCGCCGCTAGCGACGACATGGCGAACTTGGTGGCGGTCTGCTGCTGTTGTTGTTGCTGCGAGGACTTGGCCCTGGTCTGTCCCTTGGCTGACTGTGTGTGGATGTGGCGCTGGATGTCCTGGCTGCGCTGCTGCAGTATCCTTCTGGCGAACTGCTGTGCTGATATATTTCCAAGTAGTCCGCGCGCCGACTCCAAATCTGACTCTGATTCGCTGTGACTACGACCGTCCGTGTGCGAGTTCAAACCGTGACTGCCGTCGTCGCCAAACTTCGTGGGACTAGAGTGCTTTGTGGCTGCCGCTGTGCACTGAAAAAATGGCATTGCATAAATCTTTGCGTATTTAGGCATTGAGACAAGCGAATGAAATTTCAAAAAAATATGTACAGTGGCGCACAGAACTTTAACAGCTTTTAAAAACTGAACCAAAGAGCAAATCAAAATAATCTAAATGCAGACTAATTCTTTAATGCTAAAAATAATTTTTCATTTATTCAAAAAATGTTGAAAATACCTCTTATATATTTTTTATTGTAACGTAAGAAATACTAAAATAAAAGCCACCGCATATTTCAATCAAGTACAAATTCAAAACATTGATAACGTTTATGGCCGATAAAAAAGCATCGATTATGTTAACATGGGCGACCAGTATAATTAATTAATATACAAGTCTTTAATTTAAAAGAAATATGCCAAAGGTAAGGGTAAGCACTACGCATTAATTCTATAATTTACTGAGTTTTTACCAGTGTAGTTGTAGCGTCTGACGTCACGCTCAACTGACGCAGCAGTCGGCTGAGATTGAGATCGCCACCGTTGGCTGAGATCGCCGCTCTCAGCAATTGCTGCAGAGAGAACATCGCGACCACAAAAGAGAGTGGGAGAGAGCGATAACTACTCGCGCGTGATCGTGGGCCACAAATTTGTTGCCAGAGTCAGACACGTGACGTGTGTATGCCGTTCGCCCGGACTGTGGGTTCGAAAGTAAGGGAATTTCATTAGTTATTGTTGCATGATTAATATTTTGGTAGATTTATGTCGCATGCGATTTAATTCAGTGAGGAGAGAAAGACCATTATTATTATTTAACAGTTAGAAAGTCACTCCAGTTGCGGTTGATACAGTTTTACGACACTGATTAAAGATTTTAAGTACATACATACATACATATACAAAACACCTTTTAATAGAAATGGTGAAAACTATTTAATTAATTCCTAACAAAATAGGAGTAGAATTTAAATTAATAAATTTAAGATTTGTAAGACGGAATTTATTAAAGCTAGTAACAACAAAAAAATAAATAAAAATATTTAAATCAGTAGTATTTAATCAAATGTGTGTGAGATTGCTACAGTACTACGGAGAGAAGCTAATAAATAATTTAAATTAAATTAATTGAAATTAATAATTGTTTTCCATCCAAATATTTTTAGACTTTTTTATTTTGCATCAGTTGTTAAAAAGGTTAAAATAAAGAATACATACTACATTATGCCAGAGCCATTTTTAGCAAAAAGGTAAAGAAATCGAAACGATTAGAAATTATTTATTTATTGCAAGGAACACAGTCACAAATGCTGGGATCGTCCAAAGTCCAATTGAGGAACAGAACAATATAGCCTTCTTATCAGCTGCCGACGTTTTTTTCCCAGACTCGCATATATGTACATATATGTACGTAAATAAATAAATACGTAGAACATCATAAAACAATGTCCGATAGATGATTTTCGAACCCACTTAGGGTAAATTGAAAAAGGCAGTTGATACGACAATTCCTTTCGGTTTTTGCAATCATAACATCAACGATTTCTATCAACTAAATGTATATAGCTGTTTTACCAAATATCATTTTAATTTCTAAACCTTTTATATTATATATATCATATATAAAAAAAATGAAATTAAATTAATAATAATAAAAAATTTCAGAATTGTGTTTATTAAAAAATTATAAAATAAACCCTTTCATTTTTGTGACAAAAACCTTTAAACAAACAGTTAATTTTTTTATTTGTCTCTTCTCTTAAGGAATTATTTTTTTTTTCACTTTGGCAGCTCAAAAGCACTCGATTTATAAATTCACTATTTTTTTGACGCAGTCTGTATGTACATATGCATGTAGATTGTAGGCTACCTTGACACCACTCTCCGAGTGCAAGAAGTTCCGTTAAAATAAAGGGAAATAAATAGGAAGCGGTTCCGACACTTCGACAGACACTTCAAGGTGAAAGCGGGACGAGGGGGACTACGTATGCGTCGTGTGGCACGTAAGCACCGTTAGTTCGATGTAATGTTAGCGACTAAGAGCTCCGCCCGCCGATGAGAAACTAAAAACTTTTATCGCGGCAAGGCGACACGTTTGTAATTAGGAATATAAATATATCGCTAAGCTAATATAGACACTGAATCACATACACACTGCACACGCGCACAACTACAGCAACAACCACAATAGAGGCGGCAGAAATAGTTAGAATTACTAACGTAATTTATGCAACAGCCAAACGGTCTGCATTCTGCGATGGCCGCCGTATCACCAAGCGCTTTTCATCCACATGCGATGAATATTTTTGATCTTCTTGCTCGCTCTCTCGCCCGCCGACGGCAACAACAATGTTGCGCGCTCTTTTACTCAATTTCAACTGTTTCTGTTTTTCGCAGCAATTGCACAATTTGTCTTTTTCAATTACACTTCTTGTTTTTGTACCCACGAGCAGCTGTTATGTCGGTGTGGCCGTGTCTTTTCAAAACGCCTACCAACGCCAAACGCATACCAATGCCAGCGGTCAGCTGTTGGGTTTACTTTTAAAGCAGTTTCAAAATCGTGTAGATCGATGTTAGCACTTTCACAAACCGTTTCGAAGAAGGTTGCAAAAAATATTGCTTGCAATATTTGTATGTCAATCGATATCGAAATATATTGAATAAAAAAAATGAGCAATGAAAATCAGAATAGATTTTCTTATAAATAAGAAACCGGATAATTTCAGAACTTTCAGCTTCAGTCAGCTAGTTATAAAGCCATAGGAGCTAACGTTTTGTTTCGTACCCACACTTAACAAAAGCGCCATCTACGTTTTTTTTTTTATAACTGAGACTTCCGTGTCTGAATTGCCTTATTCGCAATTCACAATTTGACATGAAACTTACATAGTTTTTTTACAAGCCATTTTGCCAAACGAATAAATTCACACATAGATGGCTCTAATCTTCTTATAAGTCTTTCGTTTTATCACTTTGTTCAATATCGCGCTGCAATATATCGATAAGAGTCAAGAAATAGCTCAGTTCCACTGGGCCTTCTGCCCCACAAGAAAATTGTTTATAACCTACTGTCACTATTAACAGCAACTAATGCAGTGCGATTTTAATTTAACAGAACAAGTTTATCATTGCAGAGCAATATTTGGCTACTAAGGTGTACAAGGATGTGGGTAAGAATCCGACTTAATTATATTTGTTATACCCTTGCAGAGGGTACTAAAATTTCATTCAAATCCAATAAAGTATAAATGAAACATCTCAAAAAGGCATTTTTTTGCTTCACGTAGCATATAGAGTAAGTCAGATCGGACGACTAAATTATAGGGCTCCCATAGGAATATAGTTCAATTATAGTTTACTATTTTAGAATAACGGATTTAATTTTATTTAAATTCACCGAAAATCATAATAGTTTCATTGCTTTAAAACGTAAAAAAATCGAAATATAATCGTTTTAAAGAATATTTAATTTTTGTAATAGATGCAAGGGTATAAGAATTTGACCTTTCAGAAGTTTTCTACTTTTCTTATTATTTTTTATGTTTAACAATTCGGCACATTTCAGCCATATTTCATTTGTAAATTTGAACTAGATTTGACGTTTTTTAATACAATGTATTATGAACTTCAACGTTTTAAAATATGCCAAAAAAATCAGTCTAATTCAATTTTGTTAAACTTATATAAAAAATAAAAAAATCACGTACCTGGTAGGTATTTCGATCTTTTCCGCTTTCAAGTAAATTAATTGCCAACAACTTCTAAAATAATGGTTCGATTTGGAAAACTAAATGTCAAATATCTTTAAAACTATTTGCTAGCCAAAAATAAATCGAAGATATCGAGTCCATAAGTTCTCCCAATTAGGTCGGTTTGTTGAAAGAGTACACAGACCGTTAAAACGCAAACTTGTTACCCAATTTATGGCGAAAAAGCCGTTTAACGTTTCCTAATAATGCTTAAATTATGTTCCCGATTACACTGTAATCATTTTGTGGCACAATTGGGTCGCACAATAAGTCCTCGCTTAAGCAGTTAAACACGAATGACTTACAATAAAACTGTCAAAACGTCAGCCACAAAGCTGGAAACTAAACCTCTCTGGACGTCGGACAGGCCACAAGCACATTTAATTGATTCCAGCTAAGCCTCGTTGGCAGCTTGCAACGACTGGGAGACAATTTAAAAGCTTCCGGCTTGGCGGCGCAATCTATGAATACATTTATGCGTACGGTTACAACTTATGCATATTTTAGGCAACATTACCGTGCATAAATCTACTCATCTATTATGCAAAACCCCTTTGCTGTTTGCGGAAATGATTTATTTATGGGTCACCGAGCCCAACAACCAAAGTGCAGGTTTCTGCTGTTTATTTTCGTTTTTTTCGTAATTGCGATTGCGAAACTGTAAAATTGAAAATATATTGGAATTGATTGTATTTGGCGGTATCCAATTAAATTGATTTAATCTTTTGCTCTAATTCAATTATTGATGCATATACATTGCTGCACGTTTTCAGTCAGCGATGCGTGATCAATTGGAAAACTTTCACAACGGCAATAAGAAAAGTTGGAAAAATCTTTTTAAAGCCACGCAGATGTTTGAATGTCCTTTATGTAAAGGCACAATGCATTTTAGTCTCTTAACCATATTTAATGAGATTAGAAAAGTCGTTTATAAAACAAAAAAATTATTTAATAATTATAAATTTCAGTAGAAATAAATAATAAGCAATATAGCCTTTTTCCATATTTCTATATTGGTGTTTTTGTAGCGTTGAAGTATCTTCCTTATTTGCTGCATAGAACAAGCGTTCAATCTCACCAGATTAAACTTTTTTCCCACTTTTTTTGTAGTCTATTGGCAAGTGAAGCGTTAATGAAAAACTTTGACAAAAACTGCATTTCTGCAGCCCGTTGAAAAGTTTCAGTGGAAGACAGCGAAAATAAAGAAGGAAAGAATAACAATAGTCCACGGTCGCTGGGCCAACATAGCTTTTGATTAATGCTACCCAAGCATCAATGAAAACCAATTAATTAACGACAACAACAGGAGCTTTGGAGGCAATCTTGGCGGGGTAGTGGTAACAAAGGACATGCGCCTTCGTCTGCTCATGAATGAATCAGCGATTGAATGACTGAATGAGTGTAATGACTCTTTCATTAAGCGCTCGACCGTGAATAAAGCATTAACCCCACCAGGAAGCAGCCAGCAGGATCTGAGCTGAGCAGTGAGGAGTGAGGAGTGAGGAGCGAGGAGCTGCATAAATTTCCACTCAGATGGACAACAGTGACAAAATGGAAATTGCAAACGGAGCTAAGTACTCGTCGGCGCTCAGCAGTATTCCGGCTTCCTGTTCGCAGCCAATTCCCAGCCCGGACTCAAGGATCCTCCGCTCCGCTATTGGCATCCGTAGTGCCTTAATAAAAGATGAACACGTTGAAGCATATTGAAATGTAATTCATAACCGAGCAGCATAGGTTCGCAGTCCCAGTCCCAGTCCCAAGCCCATCTTTTGCAGTTGCTCGGCTGTTGGTAACCTGGCATTGCGCATACGTCATGGTGGACACCGGATGTGTCTGCAGGCATGGGCTGCCTCCCCCACATTCTAATTGAATTATGCATCGGCCCGAGTTGCATATAATTCAATAAGCACAGCGAGAGTGGCTCAGAACCCTCAACCTGCAGGGCAGTGAAATTCATCCACCTCTTATGCACGAATCAATACTTCATGTCGATGCTGTAGCTTCTTCAGGTAAAACCCTAATTAATCAGCTAAAAAAATATATATAAAAAAAATTGTAACTGCTTTAATTTTCAATTTTTTTTTGTGTTTTACTGGTAATTCAGAATTTACGCTTTATTTTAGTCGGAAAACAATATCATATAGCTGCCATAGGAACTATTAATAATTGAGGTGAAAATCATCACAGCTCTTTTTAAACATGTACGCATATTATGTTAGATGATGTTTTAAAGAATATTCAATTTTTGCAATTGCTCCAAATTTGTTATCTTTACTCAGCATCCTTTTCTGATTAATGTAAAATAAATGGCAAACCAAATTTTAAAGTCTGCAGGACAATGACGATTTAATTTGATTTAACTCAAAATGAATTTAGCTAAATTTTTAGTGTGGAAGTTTTAAATTAATGTGTGTAAATGACACAAATTGTTAACTACATTTTCATATTATTAGCTTACGAGAATTTTTCCTTCTGAGATCTTAAGAAGGGTATCCAACAAAACCATACAAATACAGTATTCCAAAAATATTTAAACTTATTACAGTGTTTTTTGAAAAAAAAAATGTTTTTTACCGTTCCAGACTTATTTACAAATCACTACCACTCTCCATTAATTAAGTAATTTTGTTAAAATCCCATTGTAGCTTCCGTTTCAATAACACCGTTGTGCATTTGTTGTTTGAATTATACTTTAAATGAGAAAAAGTAAGGCCAAGTTAATTATACTGTGTTTCATGCAATCCGAATGCGTATAAAATCGTGACATATCGAAAAGGAGTTCGGATTCTTCGAAGATAAGCGTAGGATTTTGGTTCTGCATACAGTCCACATGAAAAGTTTGCTCTTGGCAAGCTGTTTTCCCCTCTTAAGCTTTGAAAATTAAAACTTTCATTGGCCACTTTTGGACTGTGATTTAATTTTTTTTTCATTTTCCGGTTCTTTTGCGTTTTCTTGGCCGTCGAATTCCGCGCTGACAAACTTTATTATTTCGCAAGAAACTTTTTAATGACAAAATCAAATTGGTGCAGGCAAAAAAGTTGTGGCCAAGAAAGGCAAAACAAGAGAACAAGCTGCTGATTGTCCTATAATTTGAGGCTTATTAAAGCAAACCCTCAAAAAAAAATATTATACACGCAGATATTTTTTGATATTTTATGTGAGGCAAAATGATTTCTGTAGCATGTTTTCCATTTCATCCATAAAAAATGTTTTAATGGAGCATTTACTCAATGTGGCCTAGTCGAAGAATCGGGCCATCAGCGATATTAAATTTAAAGCTCTAATGTTTATGATTTTCGATTACGGAAAACGCACACCATACGTATATATACATACATACTTCTTTCCATTGACTGAATTCTGACACAGTGGTGACAATTTTAGTAGACCCGTAGTTTTAAGAAGAAAACTAGAAATTTAAACTGAAAAACTTATGAAGATTTCTTAAACTATTTTTGCGATAAAGCATTTCGATTTCAAAAAATTTTATTGTAATAAAAAAAGATAGAAATAAAAACTCTTTTTTTAGATAAGGGATTTTGAATGATAACTTGACATAACACAATAAATCCACGTATGAACCAATCATTAACGACTATAATACACTTTTTACTCAGCGAGTAAAGGGTGTGCATAGAGTTTATAGCCCATTTAATTTACGGATATCCCATTTTTACAAAAACTCAAAAGAAGTCTTT